AAACTCAAATCAATCTATTTCTAACTTAATTCTATTCCCCTTTGGAATTCGACAAAATCAAAGAATTAACTTATAAACAATAATTCTTATAAATTAAAGATCCTAATCGTCACCTCAATATACTAGGAACCTATTTCCTCAAACTCTCAAGACTTTCTATAATCGTTGATCCATAAATCGAATAACTTCAAAATCGCCTTGGAATTATTTGATCCTATCGGACACCTCTCTCGTTCACTGCTATGAAGCTCACCAAAGCTCGTTGCTATCAGGAGTTCACCTCGTTCATCTTCACTTGAGACTCGGGATTTATAGTGTGAGGTGACGTCACAATTCTGAATGAGATCACTCCCTTCATTTACATACGTAACGCTAACAATAAACTTTTTTCGTTTGTCTGGCAGCCTATTTTCCGATAATACTCGCTAACCTTTTACATTATTCTTTTTCACAATTTTCGGGACGTTTTTATTCTTTAAGGTTTAGCGAGTCCCTAATTCGTGCTTGTGGGGTCTCCCCCCTTTTCTCGGTGCGGACTTACTTTTTTCCGCTCGGGAGCGCAAGTGTGCACGAGTTTTTCTACAGCGCTTTTCTTTCGTCGGGGAGTTGGTTTTTCTTCTATTTTTAAGTTCCTAAGGTGAATGGTGAGGAAACCTTCGTCCTAACAAAACCTAAGCCCCAAACAAAAATAGAATAATAAACAAAATAAAAGTAAATAAAAATAACGCTTGGACTTGGTTCCTTACAACGTACACTGTTCAGGCACTCTATAGGGTAATTTAATCGTTCCTGGTGATCATCAGTTTGTATCTCATCGTAGCTGTAATAAGTTTTTTCCCCTTGCTCATGTGAAAGTTTAAAAACTTTGTCATTGATTCTGTCGACGTCAGCATTTTTAGGGCAAAGTATAGCCCTATTTTTAATGGTTGGTATCATATCAGGAGTTATTTGCTCACCAAATTACCTTCACAAAGAAATTCAGAGGGAACCTCGATAGTGTGTTCAAGTTCAAGAGAATTCCCCAATGTGCCGTTTCCCAATTTCAACAGCCATTCACTATATTTAGGGTCCTGTGATCTCATATTGGTACTCAATGTGAGTTTCTTAAATTCCAAAGAATCACAATACTTAAGTCCAGACTGGACAATTGCTGGTCGCATTGCGTGCGGGAGAATGTTTAAGCATTGCCGAAAGTCACCTCCAAGTAATATTACCTTCCCACCAAATGAAATTTGATGTCCAGTTACCTCTCTTAAAATTCTGTCAATGGCATTCATAACATGGGATGCCATGGTGCATTCATCCACGATAAGCAATTATGCTAATCTAATATCTCTTCCATCTTTCGAGTCCAAACTCAGGTTTGAAATGGATGTCTCATTGACTTCTAAAGGTAACTTAAACAGAGAATGGTAGGTTCTACCTCCACTGAGCAAGTTTGATGCAATTCCGGTTGATGCTGTGGGAATGACAATTTCATTCCTTGCTCGAAAGTAATGAAGAAGAGTTCGATACAAATATGTCTTCCCACTTCCTCCGGGACCGTCCAGGAAAAAACATTTAGGGTAGATCTCTTCATCATTCACAGCATTGATTATTGTTGTAAATGCTTGTCGTTGGTCATCATTCAAAGATGTAATCATCTCATCAGCGGCCTTCTGCTCAACGTCTGAATCATAGATAATCTGATTCATACTTGGCAAATCATAGCCCACATCAGGTAAATTGAAATTGCAGAGTGAATGACCAAGAAGAGTCAGGGTATCTTTTACATCCTTAAGTGCATACTCAGCACATCTTTGACATTCACCCTGTTTAAGATGTCGCTCATAGCAAACATCCTCTGTCAAATACTGTAAATTATCATTCCATAACTTAAGAGCATCAGAGGGAAGACCATAAGCACAGATATAGGCAAACATTTGCCTAAGCTGGAATGGCATTGCATAAACAATGGCATCATGAATTGTGTCTTGCCAAATTGTGTCATCCAAAAGATATCCCTTGCGCTTCGCAGCCTCTAGAAAGGTACCTACCTGAACGGACTCGTCGTTCACCACAATTGTTCGTAAGTGTTGAAAAGATGTCACTGCCTTTTCGTGGCATAAAAATAATCGAAGATAGTATCTTTCTGGGTCTTTAATACTTACATTTACCATTCTCCCAATCACTTTCTCTCCTCCCATTTGTCTCCTTTCCCACTTTGCAGTCGTATCCTTCCAAACGAAGTGTTTGGGTATTTCGGAATAAGTAAAGTCATGCGCAGTTTCATCTATTACATTCAACTTAAACCATCCTGTCAATTTTGTATCTTTACTCTGAGC